GGAAATGGCAAAGGCACTTAAATATTTTGTGTAAGGCAAAGGCTTGGCGAAGGCCTTAAAGATACAGGAAAGCCACAGGTTAGCCTTCCCTGCTATTATCCAAAAGGGATTTAAGGCAAGGATAAGGATATTATTGTCTGCGGAGTCCAGGGCAAACTTTCTCTTGCTCCCACTAAAAAGTATTTTATGCAACAACATGCCCTCAGGGAACCTGTATTTGGCATCTGAAGGGGAACCTGTGAGCCATGGAAGCTGGGAAAGTGCTGCATTTGTTTGTTATGCTTGTTTTTTTATCAATTCTTTATAAGAACAGAATGTACAGTCATTGGATAATGCAGACATAAGTGGTGAGCATTAACAAAATAACTAGGGCATATGCCACTAAAAGGTATTTTGATCGGTCAGAAGCTGTAGATTGTTAAAATATTCACGAATGATAGACGTCTTGAAACACCAAGCAAAACAGTATCGAGGCAAAGCTTACTGCATTTTCCAAATGACTTCCTCCTCCCTCCTATTTTTCTCAGCCTTGAAGACTGTGCCTGCCTCCTCCTCTAGTCATTTTCACTTGTTCAGTGAACAAGATCTGAAGGTCTGAACACATTTGTGTGTGTGTGTGTGTGTGGGGAAACTAGCTGTCATAACTAGTACCTGCTGTTAGTCTTATCCTTCATGAATTCATCTAATCCCCCTTTAAAGGTATCCAAGATGGCAGCCATCACCATGTCTACACATAATGTCTATTTGCAGAGATCCTGCCTCTTGTAGAATTCCTGATTTTGTTTGAGGAACCATGCACTATACATTCAAAGTGGAATCATTCTGCTTTAAACCATTGTCACTTCCCCATATGACTGCTAGTTTAAGGGGGCCGAGAGGTTGTTAGGCAATCCCTCTTTCTCTCATAGAGCTGCAATTCCCTCAATTAAGATTGTTGAACCATTCTTGAGAATCGTAGCTCTGTGAGGAGAATAGGGGTCTCCTAACCACCCTCAGCACCCTTAACAAACTACACTTCCCAGAACGCTTTGGGGGAAGCAATGGCTGTTTTAAAGTGCCATGATACTACTTTAAATGTTTAGTGCAGGTGGGATTTAACTATGCAGGCAGCCTTCAGATGCGTAAGGGAGAGGCCAGGAGCTGGGACAGTAGGTGTGATCCTGATTCCCCCTTTCTCCATATGTTCACTAAACACGGGAAGGGAACTTCTCTTCAACGCATGACCACGAATAGTGGCAGTTTGTACTCTGTTCCCTACTGTTTGCATTACTGGCTGGCCTAGGATCGATTGCTTCTTCTACATGGAGTTTGGCATGAGAATGAGGTGTGGGCTCTCAGTCCCCAACTCCATGCATCATACATTTGTATGAGAGTAGGTCCTCTCCCAGATCATCTGTCCATCACATGCTTACTATGTACATGGCTTCTTTATGTAACTATTATTTCTGCATTTGCTGCATAATCAAAGCGTGTCCCCCCAACTCTAAAATATACATTAGGAGCCCATGGCAACACTTGATAAGATCTGTGGGTTCTACAGTGGGGTAGTGTGATAAGTTCTTAGAAGCGCTGGCAGCTCATGGCTTACTCTAAGGATCTTTGTCATCTTGCAATTGTTGGGTTCCGCCAGAAAAGGGTTGATCGTGATGAATTTCAACCTTCCAGCTCTAAAAGCATTCCAGCGCACTTTGTTTAGCAACTGACTCTGGGATGATTTCATTGCAGGTTTCCAGATTTAAAGTTAGACACGAGGGTCAGAGTTTAGCTAATTTATGTAAGGGGAGAATGTGACCCGCAGCTCACGGCAAGCAGGCTCCCTGTGCTCCGTGGTTCTCATTCTTTCAACATCTCTGCAATGGAAACTGTTGTTGTGTAATCACTTTTCTGCAGCACTGATAGATGAATCACTGCTGCAGTACTGATAGGTGAATCACTACAGCAAAGGCAGCCCTGTGGTGTTTTTTCTTTTTTTAATTGTGGAAATGTACTGGCTGGGGACGGAGGGGTGGGTGGGCTGTTGACAGTCCAAGAACCATGTAGGTTACCAGTTTTAATTCCTCCCCTCTGAGGTAAAATAAGCACAGCTGCATCACTCTAACTCAAAAGCCAGTAGGTCCTGTCATTAAACAAACTGAATTGAGTGACCGTGTCGGATTCTGCTGAACTGCACAAGAGCATGCTTTTCAAATGAGGGTTTTTGGGCATGAATCTGTACAAAGAGAAGATTATCTGAGATACAGTTCAGATGTTTTATTCTAAATAAGGCTTAAACGTGGAATCTTAGAGTTGGAAGAGACCCAAGGGTAATCTAGTCCAACCCTCTGCAATGCAGGAATCTTAGCTAAAGCATCCGTAATGATGGGGGGCAAATAAGGTGCTGCTATAAACTGAGGGATGTAGACTATATGAGCTTTCTCCCAACCTTGGTAGAATCCTATGTTCATTAATGATAATAATCAATGTTATTTCTATATCATTATCTTTTTTTGTGAAATCATTTTTATTTGATTTTACAAATGTAAATTGATTACAATACCAAATACATATCCATAAAATGAGATTTCTCTGAATCTTGAGACTCCCCCCCCCATCCCCTCCATGGGTCCAACTGCATATTATTTTATAGTCTATGTCTTGTATCTATCCATAATGTCCATAGTATTTGTTACATTACAAGTGGGATTAAAATCCTGCTAATGTTTTCATCTGCTTACAGTGGTCTCCTAAATAAATTGCAAACTTTTCCAATTCTTTCTTGAATTTCTTGTCTGCTTGTTCTCTGAGTTTCCCTGTCAGCTTTGCCATTTCAGCATAGTCTAACAGCTTAGTTTGCCATTCCTCTCTGGTAGGGAATTTCTTTCGCATTATCAATACACATAGCACCTCTTTAAAACTTGTGGACTTTCATCTCTCTCTAAATAAATGCTGATTTCCACCCCACACCTCTGGTGTAGATTTGTTTTTTATTCATTTACCTTAAGGCATTTGTAGCCAGCTTTTCCCTCCAAGGAGATCAAAGCAGCATCAGTAGCAGATGGGCATGGTGGGGCAAAGGTGCTTATGTGACCTCCTGGCAGGTGAGTCAGTGCTGCTTACCAGGGTTTTGGGGAAAGCAGTGCAAACGCAGCAGCAGGAGACTGGAGTGCTGTATAGGCTCTGCTGGCGCATTTGCCCCACACTGACCTTATAGTGCCTGTGCCTCACCTCTTCCTGTAAGCAACCATGACTCATCTGCCAGGAGGTTAAGGAAGCCACTCTGCCCCACCACGCCATTTGCTACTGGTAGCAAAATATTAAAATCTGGGAGCAAAAAATAAAATGAGTAAAAAGGTAAAGGGACCCCTGACCATTAGGTCCAATAGCAACCATATTAAATAGAGACCTCAAACAATACAGAGTGTTGCATCTGTGAGTATAACCACAGATAGAATCCTGTGTTGCAGGAGGATGGACTAGAATATGATTCTCAGAAATTGGGGATGTATATTCCTGTCTTGCATTTGTAGTCCTATACATATGTACTCATAAATAAGTCCCGTTGAGTTCAATGAGGCTTTCCCCATGTAAGTGTGTACCAGATTGCAGCCTTAATCTGTGATGGGAATTATTTTGGGCTGTGCCACACAGAACCTTCATCTCCAGTTCCTCATTCCAACTTCCCCTCCTACTGCAACTTCAGATCTGGAAAATGTGTGTGTGTGTGTGTGTGTGTTGGAAGGAAACATCACTTTATAGATTCTATAGATAGCTGGATTGTATATGTAGTGAATGGGTTTTGGAGATGATGGGATTTGAGACTAGGTTAGGACCAAACTGAAGTCACCCAACAAGCCCATCATCTCAAGCCTTTCGATGTCTGCTTGTGCAGTGGTTTCTAATCCCCAAAACTTATCCAGATGAACCACAACGCACTGGAAGTTAACAGTCTAGCTAGTTATTATTATTATTATTATTATTATTATTATTATTATTATTATTATTACTAGTACTACTACTATTTATTAATTAAATTTCTGTACCACCCTTCATCCAAGAACTACAGGGTGGTTTACAATATAAATACACAAAAAATACATACCATAGTAACAAACAAAAGCAACACACACAGTTTTAAAAAAAGTATGTCACCTTACATTAACTTGGGAGCAGGGTGGATAAAAATCAATGATTTTTAATTTTTTTTTTAAAAAAATTCAGATTTTTAAAAATTTAAATTGGATTTTTTTATTTAAATTGGATTTTTAAAATAAAATGCTTTTGGAGGAAAAATCTTTCTAAAGATAGTTTTCTATTTAAGTTACATTATAGTCCAAAGGCTATTCATCAGGAAATAAGGATTTGTTTTAAGTTTTTCACATGTGCTTAAACTCAGTCTAAGTTTTCTTTTAAAAAAATTGTTTAACCACATCAGTTAACAAACATGGATACAGATACTATAATGTTATTATTTTAGTTAAATAAATTGTTTAAATTGTTATTAAGGAAATGATTATTTTTTCTCCTTCCAATAAAGTACAGCAGAAAAGTTGTTCAAATATAAACAGTTAATTTATTAAACCTCACAATAATTTCATAATTATGTGCCTATGTATTTCTAATAGTATAACCAAATCAGTAATTTTTGATATAACTGTAAAAACTACTCTGAAAATTTATTATTCCAAAAACGAAACCTTCATCTGGTTGTTAATATTAAGATTATGCTAGCAAGAATGAGTCTTTCTGTAAAAAAATGATTTAAATCAAGTCTTACTGACTAGTGATTTAAATCATGATTTAAATCAATTTGATTTAAATCAAATCCACCCTGCTTGGGAGTGCAAGAATTTGTGGAGCAGGTGAATAACCTGTGGCTCCCCAGATATTTCTTGACTATAGGCAAGGGCTGATGGCAGTTGGGAGTCCAAATAGATCCCAGGTCCCCCACTTCTGTCACAGAGATTTACCTTGACTACTGCTTCGCTAGCAACAGTTCTGAAGTGTCCTGCTTTTGCCTGTAGCTCCCGATGATCTTACGCTGAGACTATGCCGATCGGAGGTGTATGTGGCTTTGCAGCAATACCCAGATGCCCTGGAGGATTTGGAGGTGCTGTGCAGGCAAAAGCCAGAAGAGAGTGAGGTGAGTTGAATGTGCAGTTTGATGTTGTTGTCCCGGACAAGCATCTGTATTTGCCCACAGGCAAGCCATGAATGTGATGGAACTGTGTTCTGTAATAGGCTGAGTGTGCAAGTGAAACCCTGCAATCAGGTGAAAAGGGAGCAGTTATTAATGGGCAACCCTTTTCGAAGTTGCCAGGCTTAATCATGTTGAATCTACTAAGCTTATTAGAATGCTTCAAATGATCCTCCTCCTCCTCTCTCCCTTCCTCCCTGGCTACTGAAAGCCAAAAAAGATGAATTCCTCACTACTTCTGGAATATTCACAGACTCTGGCGAAGTTTTGGAAGGAAGACATTCTGTACTTGAGAAACAGCCGCCAAGATTGCCTCCCAGGTCACTGTTACTGTCAAAATTTGGTAGCCAGACAGTAAACTTAAGAAAGTGTTACCAGAATACTTTATGGTGCTTGAATTATTGGGTGCCAGAGAAGAGGAGTGGCATTTCAGTCTATAACAAAAAAGAACAACAACCACCACCCAAAACACAAAACCCCTCTTGAGCATCTAAGCTCCATGAAATGGCATCCTTAAAAGATCCGTTGTACTGTTTGATGTTTGTATATGTACGTTTGCTTTGACAACGTCTCTGGTAATTTCTCTTTCCCCGGAAGTGCACATGTTCATATGTTAGGTGACTGAAAACCTCATCAACTGGAGCACTGATTTTTGAGAATGGTATTTGACTATTGTTCTATAAAGTATTATTATTAGTATACATCCCATCTATAGCTCTCAGGGTGGTTCACAACATAAAATACATGATAGAACATATACAGTCGTGCCTTGGAGGTTGAATGGAATCTGTTCTGGAAATCCGTTCGACTTCCAAAATATTCGGAAACCAAAGCACGGCTCTTGCAGCCAATCGGAAGCTGCAGAAGCCCCATTGGACGTTCAGTTTCCAAAAATAGTTTGAAAAGTGAAATGGTTTATGGTGTTTGGGAGCCAAAACTTTCAAGAACTAGGCTTTTCAAAAACCAAGGTACAACTGTAAATGCAAACCAATAACCGCCCCCTCTGCTGCAGAAGTAGGCTTGTGCCAGAATAGGTAGCAGACATGCATCCCATGATGAAGGGAGAGCTTTTCTTGTGTCTTTTGTAAGGAAACTTTTGGATCCATGATTGTGACATGGCATCTCTGTAATTGCTGTAAGGTACCTCTGTACCTTCATGGATCACTGCCTTGCTGTGGCGAAGCAGAATAACTCAGAGAAGCTATGAGCTATGCCGTGCAGGGCCACCCAAGATGGACAGGTCATAGTGGAGAGCTTTGGCCAACCGTGATCCACCTGGAGCAGGAACCGGCAAGCCACTCCAGTATCCCTGCCAAGAAAACTCCATGGACAAAGACAACAGGCATATAAAACAACAACAACAACCTCTGTACTCTGTATATGCTACAGATTTTTCCCTTTGCAGCCCAGCTTGAACTGAAGCTACAGCGAATAATTTGGAGCATGCAGTGTGCAATGTTAATTCTTCCTTTGAATCACCTGATATCATGTGACTTCATGCGATCTGACAGATGGGTGGAGCTGTTCGTTTGTCAAAGTAGCCCACAGGGGATGAGGAAGTTTCGGATCTGGCCCATTAGCCAGATCCTGCTTCCCCATCTTTGTGCTAAACCCACAGTATCAAGAAGGGTTAGATAGATCATCCAGGAAATTCCTACTGTCTTCAAATTGCCAGGAGAAAACAGATAGCACAGGTCTAGCATCGGAGAGCAGAAACAAATGTGTTCACTTGCTGCACTGTGAATCTAACTTCTGAATTGCCAGCACATCGCCTGTAGGCATGGTACAGCTGTTCATTGGTAATCCTAAACGTAGAACATTTCTGGCGGCTTTGTTGGGTAGATCTTCTTCGGAAACACACTAACCAAATCTGTCAATGAAGCATTAGGTTTCAAGGATAGAATGTAAACACTGCATTATGTTAATTGGTTCATCTGTCAATCCTCGTTAAACTCGGTGTGCCTAGACAACTCTATTGGGTTAAAAGAAAAACAGCACCCCACCCCAAGAACTTGTCTGGCTTCCTGTCATACACAATCTTCATTCATTCAGTCAGTCTCATAGCTTGTCTGCCAGCAAATTAATAAGGCAGAAGCTATGAAGAAGCTGAATTCCTGCAGCGAGCACAAGTTGCGGTGGTGAGCTGAACTGATGAAGCTGGCCAGATAAAGGTGTTCGGTTTCTTTAATTGAAACAATACACAGATCAGAAGCATCAGGACAACTTTCAGAGAGAGAAGCAACGATTAGTGTGAAATGGCATTAGAATAAAATAATTCATCCGTTGTTTGGGGGTAGGTGAGATTTTCCATGGTCTCGGAATGGGTGACAAGGCTTGTAAAAGTTGATAAGAATTAAAATGGTCTGGAAGTAGAATTCCCTTTTCCCATATGAGTCTACCCTGCTGGCTTCAGAAACCCTACCATGGGTACTATGGCTGACCACACAGCCTTTTCAGTGGTGGCATCCTGTCTTTGAACTATCCTTCCTAGATAGATTTATGTGGCACCAATACTACCATCATTTAGGCATGAGCCTGAGAGATCCAGCGTTACGTTTACAAACTGCGCTTTTTAAAATCACTAAGACTTATATAGATTTACACTCCTGCTGTTCTATTGGGTTTCCTGACTGCTATTCTGTTTATTTTGTTTGCTGTTCATCTCTGTTTTATTTGTCTATTTGTCTATTTTCATTTGACTGTCCATTGATTTGGAGACATTTCTAGGAATAGTGACTCACAAACACTTAAAACAAATTTATAATATGCAGAATATGTATACGTTTGGACTAAGCAAAAATCTAAGTCCAAACCGGAAAAGGAAATGCTTTGCTTCGATAAGATTATTTGGCTTTTGCTTTGAGGAGGTGGGGGTGTACAGCAGCCACAATATTAGGTTCAGACTAAAATTTTATGCTTGATTCAGGCTGCACCAATCTGAAGACCGCCTGATTCAACTTGGGACCTTGAGCCTACTTTGTTTTCCCCATTCACTATTGGGAAATAATAATAACAAAGCTACAAATTTGGTTCCATTTTGACAGAAGTGGATGAAGTTTGCAAGCATAATAGCCACTCTGTAGTGGATAAATCCTACCAAATGACAGCCAAATAAGTCCAGCAATCTTCATGCCGGATGTTATACTCCAAAGGGCTAAAAGTGGTTTTGTGATTGACAGCTTGTTCAACTATTGCTGCTTTGGGAGGAAGGGCGGCATAGAAATATAATAAATGAAGAAACAAATAAATTCCAGGTTTCCCTTGCTGTATTCAACAGGCTTCGACAGCAGCACAAGTATGATTTTTGTATTGATGCATCTTGGTTAGCATGTGAATCATAAATAATTCCCAGTCACTGTTATGAACATAGCATACTGTCTTATTTTAGACCATTGTTCCGTCACATGCAGTGCTGTCTGCACTGCCTGACAGAAGGTTTCCAGTTCCCAGGCCTGATTTGGAGATGCTGGGGATTGAACTAGTGCCTTCTGAATTATGCCAGAAGCAGCACACTAAGAGAAGAATATGGAAGTTCACCAAGTCTGAAGGCTTCAAGTTAAAACTCTATGTTGTCTGCTTCTTTGCAGGTATTCTTTAGGAAGGGAAAGGTCCTCCTGGAAATGGGGAAGCAATCTGAGGCCCTGCTGCAGTTCCAACATTGCCTCACGCTGAATCCCAATTTTCATGCTGCTCAATATGAAACAGAAAAGGTATTTGTTTATTTTAAATAATTTTATGTTCCTTTAAGGTAAAACTTTCTCAATGTGCCAGTTACAGATAGGTAGCCGTGTTGGTCTGCCATAGTCAAAACAAAAAAATTCCTTCCAGTAGCACCTTAAAGACCAACTAAGTTAGTTCTTGGTATGAGCTTTTGTGTGCATGCACACGAAAGCTCATACCAAGAACTAACTTAGTTGGTCTTTAAGGTGCTACTGGAAGGAATTTTTTTGTTTTCTCAATGTGGTTTGTAATGAAGGAATGGGTTTCTGTGCAGTCAGTTTGAAACAGGACCCAACCCCCCTTTTCTTCTTTCTCCAAGAAAGCATTTCTAAAATGCATTAACTTGAGCTGTTGAGCAAATGCATAACAAGAACACAGCTGTATAAACAAAGCTCTCTCCTTTATCAGTCACGGCAATGGATGACCTTGGCTGTTCCAGTGGAGTAGGGATGACATGTCTAGGTCTTATCTTACGTCCTGACCACACTCTGACGCACAGACCTAGTCCGGGAACAGCGCCAGAGTATGCTCTTGGAGTTGGTGACCTCTTGTTCCAAGATAAGAATATAGGAACAGGAATACCCTTTTATGGTCAGGAATACAGGAAGGAAAGCCCTTTTATGGTTAAGAGTACCTGATGTGGCTGATTCCTGGGGGAGGGGGGAGAGGGTGCCTGGAGGATATATATACTGCATGAAATTTATCATTTCTTTGGACTTGCTGTGGACTGACCACGCAAGTGCCTTTCTGCTGCTCTGGAGAGCAGAAATAAATAACTCTTTCTCTGAACCAACCCTCGGTGTCATTTGACTTCCTTCCTCCCACCCGGGTGCAACACAGACCCAATCGGTGAACTCCAATAAGGCTACAGTAAAACATAAAATGTCTGTGTGTAATACACACACACACACACACACACACACACACACACACACACACACACACACACACGTATATTACAGTTTACCTAAACAACAGCATTAAAATGCACAATGGCCATTTGAATTAGCTTCAGCTTAAATTTTAGGAATAAAAAATTGTTAGTGTTGCCATGTCTGACATTTTATTGCCTCCCAGCAAAATAACATGAGATTCTTCATCTGTTTGATTGTGCAGCATTGCAGGCTCATGGTTGTGCCTACTCAGATTGCTCAAAAACAAAAGATGGAGTATTCGTTTTGATTGGCCACAAAACCAAAGCTAAACTGGCACTTCCATGTTTACACTGCAAACTTCCCTCCCTTTGATGGCTTGAGCATGAAATAATGCTACAGGACCTTTTAATATAATCACAGCTTTGAACGGAAATATTTCAATAACGGCAGGCTCAAATGAGCCAGACATTAGTATTACTAGGTATTAAGAGTGTACAGTAATATAGGCAACAGGTGCTGTGAGCATCTGTCATACTGTTTAAAACAGTTTAGCTCCTGCCATTATTATGGGTTAGGAGTAAAACACTCTGGTGAGGTAGTGTGACTGTTTGCATTTCAGAACAGTACACCATTTATGCTGACAGGGGACTTTAGTTCCTGGAGTGGAAATCCTCCAATAATTTTATTTCAAGTGGGTTCTTTAACTATAGTACTACAGTCAAATATATTAGTTAATGCATTGTGATATAAGAATAAGCTTCTGCCTTTACATCTAGTCTCATTGCATGCGTATTTTTAAGGCATGTTGTTATTGATTTTTTGGAGCTGCAGGAAAGAGTTTTTCTGTCCAGTGAAAGGGAAAGACTAAAAGAAAAACGGTAAACAAACTGGCTTGAAGTCTTGTTTTAGTTAGAATCATAGAATCATAGAGTTGGAATAGACCACAAGGGCCATCGAGTCCAACCCCCTGCCAAGCAGGAAACACCATCAGAGTTGTGGCATCAAAGACTATTTTAATTTGCATTTAGCTAGCTTAGCAATTTTTGACTTACAAAACTCTTAGTAAGAGAGAGACTGGTATTTAAAGCAAGTTCTACCTTGAAGTTTCTTTTCCTTTCAGAAATACAGTAACCTGTTTTCTTCTTCTTGCCAGATTCTCACGAATGACGCCTCCCCTCTTCCAGGCACTGTTATGGAGCTGAAGAGTGATGCCAGTCAGAACTTGAAAGGGTCTAATTCAGGGAAAGAGCTAACTGCCCTTGTGTCTTTTGAAGGAGAACCCCTGCAGGTAAGCAACATGGAGTGGCAGTACCAATTACAAGGCTAGCAGCAGCATGAAAGGGAGGTATGCATTTGAATATCACTTTGGATGGGTGTGCACAACATATAGACCACCTAACCAGCATACATACTGTGTTTTAGTAATTTGCTCTTGGAAATTTTATTCCTGCTTTCTAAATCTGCCTCTTGAATGAGATTCTACCTTTTTGGAGAATTGAGGGTCTTAATAATAGTGGAAAGAAGTAGGCAACTGTTTTTGCAGACAACAACTTTAGATTTCAATAAAGCAAAACGTTAGTCAAGAAATGTGGGGATTGCATGTATGTGCTTTGCAGACTACTACTGTCTTTTCATGTCTTTCTTCACCCGTAGTCTTTTTGCTTGGTCTGCTCTGGAAAGGAGGTGTTTAAGAGGATGCTTTTCTTTATGAAATAGGATTTGATGGGAAGAAAGGAAGTTTGGCTAGGAGAAGATGCTTCTGATCACAGCCAAGCAGCACTTTCCATACCAGAATGGTTGAGGAAGAAGTCCAATTCAGGTTTTTCAGCAGAGAAGGAAAGGGGTAAGGATATATAAAAAAACAATGTTTAGAAGTCAGTATTACCTGGGGAAAACAAAAGGTTGCTACTTGAATCTTCATGGGAGTATGGTATCTTAACCACTATTCTCTAAACTGCACCAGTCAATTTTTATAGCTTATATTAGGGTGCAAGGTCTTAATGGAGGAGCAGAGGTCCTGTCTACACAACATATGGCAGTGTTTGGATCTCATGATAAGCCATTGTTTATTGTGATAGGAATAACCCTAGCCTTGCCTGGGGCTCACACACTCCCACTGGTTTGCTTGAAAAAAAGCCAGAAGACCTACTGGCAACTACTGGGTTCAGGGGTGGCTGGTGTGGTGATGCTATGGAGCTGGCCAGGCAGCGATGGTGCTACTTGGAGCAGGGCAGGATGGCAGTGAGCTGAGGGTAATTGTGCGCATTGGTGGGAAGACCAGATTGGCTCTGCCCTTGCCACCCTGCCCTTTTTGCCACTGTGCTCTGCCCTACCACGGCGGGCGTCAGTGATGCTGCTTCCAGGAGGCTTTCTCCGTAGTCTACAGTGCCTGCTCTTGACTGGGTCTGATGACACAGAATCCTATTTGGTGTTGTTGCAGGGAAGGGGGCATCAGGTTAAGTCAGGCTTCCTCAACCTTGGCCCTCCAGATGTTTTGAGACTATAATTCCCATCATCCCTGATCACTGGTCCTGCTAGCTAGAGCCAGTGTGGTGTAGTGGTTAAGAGCAGTAGACTCGTAATCTGGTGAACTGCGTTCGCTTCCCCACTCCTCCACATGCAGCTGCTGGGTGACCTTGGGCTAGTCACACTTCTCTGAAGTCTCTCAGCCCCACTCACCCCACAGAGTGTTTGTTGTGGGGGAGGAAGGGAAAGGAGAATGTTAGCCGCTTTGAGACTCCTTAGGGTAGTGATAAAGCGGGATATCAAATCCAAACTCTTCTTCCTGGGAGTTGTAGGCCAAAAACATCTGGAGGGCCGAGGTTGAGGAAGCCTGAGTTAAGTGTTGCAATTATGAGATGTCAGACACTACGCAGGGCAAGTTTGCAAAATGCTGTCAGGTGGCAGGTTGCCTCTGCAAATCCCATAAGGCCATTTCACGCATTATACCGAGACATTCATTCATTCCTTTTATTTGTACGCTGCTTTTCCACACACAAAAATCACGCTCAAAGCAGGTTGTAAAAAATAAATAGGAATGCATTTGAAACAAACAATCCAAAACCAATTTCGTAAAGACATAATAAAACAATATCAAATATAACACACCAAAAACTACATTCCAGTACTATAAATATAACAACATGCAGTATCCAACAGCAACATAACAAGGGAGCTTCACAGTTTCAGTTTAGTCCTAGAAGCACCCCTTCCATGTTTTTACTCATGGTCCCTCTCCTGCAGAAGCTTCTTATAAGCCTTCAAAGGTGAATGGTGGAGTAGCTGGAAAAACCACTCCCATGATGGTACTAGGTTTGCCACTAAGTTACTAGGTTTGCCACAAACTCCCATGATGTTACTAGGTTTGCCACTAAGTTCACATTCAGCAGGGATTCACTTTAACCCTCAGGTTTCTACCTAAAAATGCAAGGTGTGAAGGCACTATTTATTGATGCACTTTCCCTTGTCGCTCAGGTGTAGCATGAGACCACTAGTCTGTTGAGGTACAAAGGCATGGGTTGTTCCAGTATGACTGTGATTATCATGTGCAAAGCAAAGTTGACGAAGCTGCCCTGTGGACTTGAGGTGGGGTAATGTGTGGCATTCAACATTTCTCTCTTGGTTTTTCTTTCACTTACCAAGATTTTGAAGAAGGGGCATCGGCAGCAGAAGCCAAGTCAACCCAGGAGCATAAACCAGACTTTGCAGATCTCTTGAGTACATCAGACTTGGAATGTTCTCTTTGCATACGGTCAGTTTCTAGAGTTGCTGGATAAAGGATCACCTGTGCACTTTGACGTGAGAACTTTGTGATCAGTCATCTGCTTCACATTCTAGCCAAAGCTTGAAAGGCGGAGAGTGGAATGCAATATATATAATGGGAGGTGTGAAAATGACTTTATAATAGCATTTGAGAATTCAGCGCTTTTCATCATCGCAGATGAAAGTGTTGATAGCCATTTATTTAACAATTTATTAAAATACTTACCATGGCCTCCGTATACACAGGACAATGCTCAACTAGGTTTTATTCAGAGTAGACCCATTAAATGGACCTAACTTTAGCTTGTTCATTAATTTCAGGGGGTCTGCTATGAGTAAAACGTAGTTGAATTATCACCCATGATTTTGAGTTGGGATACATACGTCATATAAAACAACACACACACACACACAAATAATATAAAAGTAGCCACCCTTATTTATTTATTTCTAGATTTATATCTTGTTTTCTCTCAGCAGATAGTGTTTTAGACTGTAAACTGCCCTGTGATCATTAGATGAAGGACAATATAGAAATTTAATAATAAAAATACAGAGAAACTGAGCAAAGCTGATCCCTCATCTCTGCCTACTTCTGCTGAGTTGTACGGAAGCATGAGGTTGGGCTCTGTGCTGGAGCTTTGTGAGATTGTGAGATTTGGGTTCATTTGGATGTCCAGTTAAACACACACCTTGTCTGCCTTTTTTAATGAACTTTTTCCAGCCTTTCCTTTCCTCATTGATCAAGGAAACGACAGGGAGAAACCGATGTGAATGATGCCCTTGTGCTGATCTCTTTCTCTCTCAGGATTTAAAAGCTTAATTCTCCCAAGCCTTGCCAAAAGGCTCATGGCCTGGGGGATTTATGCCTGTAATTAGGCAATATCCTTATTAGCAACTTTGTCACCCAGGCTTATCCACCTAAACTTTAGTTAAGGGAAATGAGATGACCGCATGCCAATGCAAGTGAGGCTTGGTGATGCTTCCTTCAAAATGAAAGAAGGACCAATGGGAAATGCCACATGCTGTCGATGAAAAATCAGTGGCTCCTTGTGATGGCCTACAGTGCCTATTTCTCCTTGTTTCGTAGCAAGGCAATTTCTTCTCATGAATGAGGGTGATGTTGTGCCTTATGAACTTCTGAAAAATTGACATTGAAAACATGGTTGGATCGATACCAGGCCATGGACAGACAGACAGCAAGCCTTTCTCAGTTAGCTACCCCATGCCACCTTGGAACATTCTTGGATTGCCATCTTACCACATAAATGAGGAGGTGCATGATCTGTTGGGTGCACCACTGACTAGAACAGTTAAAGTGTGTGATATTTATTTTATTTTTACTTACAGTGGTACCTCGGGTTAAGAACTCAATTCATTCTGGAGGTCTTTTCTTAACCTGAAACTGTTTTTAACCTGAGGTACCACTTTAGCAGGTGGCGCTGTGGGTTAAACCACAGGGCCTAGGAATTGCTGATCAGAAGGTCGGTGGTACGAATCCCCGCGACGGGGTGTGCTCCCATTGCTCGGTCCCTGCTCCTGCCAACCTAGCAGTTCGAAAGCACATCAAAGTGCAAATAGATAAATAGGTACCGCTCCGGTGGGAAGGTAAACAGTGTTTCCTTGTGCTGCTCTGGTTCGCCAGAAGCAGCTTAGTCATGCTGGCCACATGACCCGGTAGCTGTACGCCGGCTCCTTCAGCCAGTAAAGTGAGATGAGCGCCACAACCCCAGAGTCAACCACGACTGGACCTAATGGTCAGGGGTCCCTTTACCTTTACCTTTACCTTTACCACTTTAGCTAATGGGGCATCCCTCTGCTGCTGCTCGATTTCTGTTCTCATCCTGAAGCAAAGTTCTTAACCCAAGGTACTATTTCTGGGTTAGCGGAGCCTGTAACCTGAAGTATCTGTAACCTGAAGCGTCTGTAACCCGAGGCACCACTGTATTTATTAAATTAGTAGACCGCCCTTCATCTGCAGATCTCAAGGCAGTTCACAACATAAAAATACAATCGGAAAACATCAAATACCATATCGGCCTGAACATAAGCTGCGCTTTATTCCCAAATGAATTGCTTGATGTTATCAGGCAAAAAGAAAAAGCAAGTTTTATATAAGTGCTTAGGATTTTCAGCAAACAGCGGATTTGTGCACATACACACACAACATGCAAACATGACTCTTGGAAGACAGTGAGGCATAACACACAGTACTCCTTTCCCCACAACAATGTAATGATCTGTACTAGAGATTTTTCATTGTTAAGAAATAAGTCCCTATATACTTTACCATCAGCCATCAAAAATTAGGAATGTGGCTTCAACTACCAAACTTTCTGCAAATGGACATATTTTTTGGTACATTAAAAAAAAACTTAGCCTTGTCTGTGATGCTGCTTGGGAATTCTCTTGCCACCTGAATTTTTCACGTTCCCTTTCTTCCTTTGGTTTTTCTGCAGAATGTTCTTTGAGCCTGTGACCACACCTTGTGGCCATACTTTCTGTAAAGAATGCTTGGAGCGTTGCCTAGATCATAGACCCAACTGTCCACTTTGCAAACAGAGCCTCAGAGAGGTAAGAGGAATCTTGCAGGATGTGTGCATAATGGAGGAAAAGGAAGGTCTGAATTTGTGTTTAATTTGACCTGAATTAGAGCTTTTCTTTGTGCTTGAGGGGAAAAGATCATTGTGGATTCTATCATTGGGAGTAGCTGATGGCATTTATTTAATTCCATTGTTGACCTGGATAATTGTTAGAAAAAGCAGCATGTTATGTAAGTGAAATTATAGCAGGTGCAGGGCTATGGTAGAAATCGCTGCACCTGCTTTCTTGCTAGGATCATCAGACCAAAAGGTACTTGGCTCTTCTCCAAGTGCTAAATCAATGCGGGTTTGTTGAATATTGCCAGGTATGACTTGCATAGATAATTGTTGATTAAATGGAAACATTATATTTGCATTAGATGTGGAAATGATTAAATAATGCTTTCAGCCTCCAATTAAGAGGCTCCTCTGAGCCACAGGTTTATTGCTGAGCAGATGACATTATTGAAATGGGAAATCACATAACACATCCCATAATGGAGAAGGGTCAATAGCAGACACAAGCAAACTGGCCTCCTGTGAACAGGTAGCAAAGTAATGGAATAGGAAAGCTAATCTACAGACACGAGGCAAATACAGTCATCGTCCCCCACCTTGGAAACATCAGCTTAAGTTGAATTATTATATGGATGCTATAGATATGGTTTCTGTGGGCCATATCCTGCATAGGTAGAGGTCCCTCCCCCATGTGATTTTGCATGCAACAGGATTCACATGAAGAAAAGAAGCAGTTGACATGATGAGGGAACAATCACTGTAATTTCCTGCTTAAAGGAACCAATTAAGGAAGACATTGTCATATTACTTCAGAAGTAGGCTGCCTTATACTCGTGAGACCATTTGCCTACCTTGATCATAGAATAGAGTTGGAAGGGTCCCCGATTATCATCTAGTCCAACCCCCTGCAATGCAGAACTATGCCGCTATCCCATACAGGGATCGAACCTGCAACCTTGGCATTATTAGCACAACGCTCTAACCAACTGAGCTATCCAGGACCGGTATTGTCTACAGTGACTGGCACTGGTTCTCTAGGTTGTCAGGCAGTAGTCTCTCCTATCTGGAGATTCTGGGGATTGCAGATGCTTTGGCCCTGAGCTACAGCATTGCCCTGATTTTCTTTCTGCATTGCAGAGTAAATGCTCCCGCACCTCAGTTTCCATATTCTCTCCTTCCTCTACCTGAGTTTTGTGCTTTCTAGACTTACACATAGACAGGAGCTGCTCACCTTGTGGGCTGGAACCACAGCACTAGCCTCTTGGCAGCAGTGCCACTGCTGTTTACTAGGAGGGGTGAGTTGATATCCATGTCAGATTTGCTCTGCTGCTGTAGCCATGCAGCCCTGACCTTTCCACCACTTTGCCCCTCCCAGTAAGTGGCAGTGCCAGGAGGTTATTGCTGCAGCTCTGCCCCACTTGGGTGAGGCCCTCCTGATAGTAGATACTGGTTTGTTCATCATGAAAGCCAGAAGAAAGAAGGCTGTGATGTGTGTTGACTCCAAGTTTTTCTTTAAAAAAATAATTCTAGGTAGCACAACATAGACTCTGATAATAAGGGAACTGATCTCAAATAGTGGCAATATCAAACATGAAAAAGGCGCATGCCTTTCTCCTTCAAATTGTGTTTGGAAGCCCTGTAGATCTTTGTTTGAAAACATGCTAACCTGGAATTTGGTTTCTGGTGTTGGGATGTACAGTGGTACCTTGGGTTAAGTACTTAATTCGTTCTGGAGGTCCGTTCTTAACCTGAAACTGTTCTTAACCTGAAGCACCACTTTAGCTAATGGGGCCGCCTGCTGCCGCCGCGCCGCTAGAGCACGATTTCTGTTCTTACCCTGAAGCAAAGTTCTTAACCTGAAGCACTATTTCTGGATTAGTGGAGTCTGTAACCTGAAGCGTATGTAACCCGAGGTACCACTGTATCTGATTTGTGGTCTTGGCTGTCCAAACTAGATAATTACATTCTGTTAAAAAAAGAAAGAAAAATCATTCTGTTGTCTAGAAAAATGCACAAGGACCTATACCTCTCAAAAAAGAGGCCTTCCCCAACCTTGTTTCACCCATCATCCCTAGCCAGTATTGCCAATGGTCAGGGATGATGGTAGTTGCTGTCCATGGGCATCTATGGACCCAGGGTTGGGAGAGGCTACTTGAAATGGTGAATCCTTAATACATGCCATAATGATTTTTCTTCCTCATAAAATGAAAGTGATGCCTTTGGGAATCAGATGTGGGGAGAGTGGGATTATACCCAGGTCCTCTTCCTGGACTTGCCACAGGCATCTGGTTAGCCCCTGTGAGAGCTGGATGCTGGACTAAATGGGCCTTTGCTGTGGTCCAGCAGGACTCTTCTTATGATGTTATGGTTTCTTCCAGTACCTGAGAGCTGGAAAATACAACACCACTCTTCTGCTGGAGGAGCTCATGATGGCTGTCTTCCCTTTACAACTTGCAGACAGGAAACGCATCCACCAGGCTGAAATGGCAGAACTTTCAAAGTAAACAGAGACTTTTGCTTTCTGTTTTGTAGTGTCAGGGCTCAGGTCAAGCGTAGGTGAGCAATAAAACAACAGATTTCCAGAAGTCAGTAAAGTTAACTCTTTATTCAAAGTGAAACGGAAGCACTCTGGCCTAGTACTCCCAGCAACCCTTCTCTGCAGGTCTTTCCCAATTGAGGCAGGTGTGAGAACTGAAGGACCCCACTTTCCCAGTGTCCACTAATGCTCCTCTCTCCCAGGGTCTTTCCTAAGCAGTCTCAAACTGCACCTGCACACGATTGATTTCTGCTCAACCTGCTTCATTTCCCTGCATGTCCTAGGAGATCAAGGGGAGTTGTGTGGAGCTGGAGTCTCCTGGGCTTCTTCAGTGTCCTGCCTCCTAGCCCCACACCTCTCCAGCCCCCTCTTCTGTATCAGAGTCTGAACTGTCCTCTGCCCCAACTCTTCCTGCTCAGAAAGCTCTGTTATCTCCCCAGCATATGGCCCTTCCACCTCCTAGGCTGCTCTTCCTCTTCTCCCTCTGACCACTCATCGTTGTCCCACCACCATTCCCCTGGCTCTGAGCTGTCTTCCTATGAGGGTTTCCCCATGGTGGCCCTGCAGCTGCCTGCATTCATCCACTTCTCTGGTTGGTCTTAAACAATTGCTTCCACCCCCAAAGTGCCAATGCTGCTGGATAGGCCCATTTAGCGGGAGGAGGATATGGGAGAGCAGTGGCTCCATGGCTGTAGCAGTGCTTGGGGCCTCAAGCAGTGTTGGGCTCTGGCAGCAATGCTTCGTGAGGGCCTAGTGTCTCAGGAATCAGATAAGATAGGTAGCAGTTCCAGTGGGCCCTGCCAGGGCAGCTAGACCCCAGAAAATGTGAAAGGTGTGAAAAGGACGTGGAAGTGAAGAGTAAGGGAAAGGATCAGTCCTCCCTATTCCTTTGGCAATGACTCCCCTTCACAGCAGCCTAGATTCATTTTGTGTGAGAGAGCTTGTGCCGCATCTCTAAGTTGTATAACTGTACATGTGGAGCATACACCAATTTGGCACTCTCCAGATGTTTTGGACTACAACTCCCATCATTCCTGACCCCTGGCATCGCCAGCCAGGGCTGATGGGAATTGTTGCCTGAAACATCTGGAGAGCTCCAGTTTAGCAAATTATTCACATGTGCACACGCACAAGTAGAATTTATTTTAGCCACACTGAGAGCATGTAATTATGCTTCTTTCTCCTTCCTTCTGCAGCTTGACTAAGAATATCCCAATCTTTGTGTGCACAATGTCCTTTCCAGGCATTGTGTGTCCCCTTCATGTCTTTGAGCCTCGCTACCGCCTCATGATGCGAAGGTGTCAGGAAACTGGCACAAAGATGTTTGGCATGTGTATGTATGAGAATGGGAAGAGGTAAGTGGCAGAGAGATCCTGGCAGAGTGGCTCTGACCTCTCTAATCCCTTTCTTCCTCTATTGAACTTTAGTTGAGATTCCTGTATTGCAAGGGGTTGGACTAGATGACCCTAAGGTCCCTTCCGACTCTACAATTCTACCATTCTTTTATTCTATGAAACCCTCTCAATGTTGGTTTCCTTCTCTTCAGTTTTGCTGATTATGGCTGCATGCTGGAGATTCAGAAGATAGCATTTCTACCTGATGGACGCTCTTTAGTGGATACCATAGGCAAACGGAGGTTCCAGGTTTTGAGACGTGGACATAGAGATGGCTACCACACTGCAGATATTGAGTATCTGGATGATGAGAAGGTGAGTAACATGCCCCATGTAGCTTATGGCTACAGCAATCGTAACACCGAATAGGACAGAGGCAATAAAGTGGTGTCTCCTCCATTGGCCGTATAACTTATGCGCCAGCTTTGGTGATGGGGTGTATGTGGCAGGCATTCATTTTACTGAGTTACTAAATCATTGCAATGACAGGTGCACTTTGTTGATTGAAAGTTCTGTGCAGGAGAAATGCAAAACTAGTAGGGCTGTCAACCAATTAAGGAACTTGAGCTGATGTGTTAATCTGCCTTTCAACTGATTAATCAAATTAAAATTTCAGACACACAAATGTGCCCTTTTAGGATACTGATGGATGTGGGAGAGCCAATTTATTGTTAGAAGGAAAGGCCACCATTCACTGCGGTTAATTGGAGACATATTTGAAAACCAAAATAACCTCGGGTGGCGCTGTGGGTAAAACCTCAGCGCCTAGGACTTGCCGATCGCATGGTCGGCGGTTCGAATCCCCACGGCGGGGTGAGCTCCTGTCGTTCGGTCCCAGCTCCTGCCCACCTAGCAGTTCGAAAGCACCCTTAAGTGCAAGTAGATAAATAGGTACCGTTTTATAGCGGGAAGGTAAACGGCGTTTCCGTGTGCTGCTCTGGTGCTGGTTCGCCAGAGCAGCTTCGTCACGCTGGCCACGTGACCCGGAAGTGTCTGCGGACAGCGCTGGCTCCCGGCCTCTAGAGTGAGATGAGCGCACAACCCTAGAGTCTGTCAAGACTGGGCCGTACGGGCAGGGGTACCTTTACCTTTACCTTTAATAGGACACATATTTGAAAACCAAAATAACCTCAAAAAGGAGAGAAGAAAGCATGGCATTAACTCTCAGTTTCACCAGCTAAAATTTGCCCACTGCCAATTAGTTACCTAAAGCTTTAGTTGACATCCCTTTAAATCAAGGCCTTGTTGTTCGTACAGAGCTTTTCTCCCTCTTTCCGCCCTTCTTATCCTTCCCCTTCCCCTTCTCCATCACCTCCACTTCTTTTGTTCTTCCATCTGCTGCTCTCTCTGCAAAGGTGGAAGGAGAAGAACTGGCTGAGCTTCAAATTCTTCATGACTGCACATACCAGCTAACTCAGAGATTTTATGAACATGGAGACACCACCTTCAGACAGCTTTTGATGCACCATGGACCTCTTCCTGAGAAAGAGGAAGATATACAGGTACTGGCGCTTTCTCTCTCCAGGCTCCTAGAAATGGGAGCTGTCCAGATTCAAAAGCACAATGTACTAGTGAAACACAATGTACTAGGGAAGGGTCAGAATAGGAGAAAAGTACCTAATGATACAGACACTCTCGCATCCCATTCTGTTTCTCTTTTTGCTGAAAAATCATGGGAGATCCAGTCTTGTTAGATCTGGATGCTTCAACAATGTGCAGAGTGACTTGCACTGGCATGCATCCTATTTCCTGCAAGCCCACCCTAAGAGCCTAATAGAGCATATACACTGTAGGTTTGCACTGGCCTAGCTGCCTTCCCAATGGGCAAAATGCTCACAGGATTCTACATACAAGATGTGTGGACCATTTATTAGATAACATAATAAGGTGAGGAACCAGTAGACGCACGACACTCGTGGATAAAAGCAGCATTGAAAAAAATTACCGCAGTTCATGGAATTGTGTTGGTTTTGGCCCCTCATCTCAAACTCCCCTTTAGTGAAGTGACAGCTCGTTGACTCAGCCTAACGGGGATACTAATAGCCCAGGCCATTGTTAATGTTATGCTTTTCACACTGTTGAACTGGCTGTGCCTATGGCGATGCAAATGGCCTGCTGCCAAGTTTAGCAACAGCCTTGTTTTGAAAGAGCTCAGGAACAGTGCGATCATTTGCATCCTGTGATTAATCTGTTCCATCTTCTTGCTGGCTTGCTGAGATGCAAGAAGTTAAGAATAGCCTTACTGAGATCAGTGGACTGTCTCAAAGACCAGTAGCCAATCTCTACAGGTGCCTGCCAATCTTGGCTAAATTGTGTGGGGGAAAGAACACAATAATACTGAAGGAATGAGGCGAAGATAAGACTTGATGCAGCATGACCAAGTGTTGAATTTCTGTTTGTATACCAAATGAGACTTGGCTATAGATTAAAGCACCAAACAGCTCCTCCAGTTCCTTTACATCAGCCTTTCCCACTGTGGTCCTCCAGGTGTTGTTGAACCACAACTTCCATCAGTCCCAGCTTTACATCATAAGGTTTTCAGAGCAGCCTGCCATTATGGATAAATTGATGCTTTGCTATATGTACCTTAACTGTGGGAATGGAAAATTAGGTCCGTTTGTTAACTTGCTACCCAAGGCCACTAAAGTAACTTTTGACCCCAACCTTGAACTTTAGACCACAATGTGTAATCTTCAGGCATATTTGATCAGCCAAGAACAATTTTACAGAAAACTAAGCTCTTGCGTTGGTCTCTCAAGGGACATGGGGTGAATCAAAATATTTGTTTTCTTTCCCAAATTTATTTCTAGAGCATATGTTTAAAATATGTGCACACTGCTAAATAGATAAATGGGTCTATTTACAAGCTTTTCTTATGGCTTCTCAAGAGACATTGCCTAAATTTATTGCCTGGGAACTAAGCAGGTTTTTTAAATTACAAAAAAGGAAAAGGAAAAAAGAACTATTATGATATTTTCTTTTTCGAGCATGTGGTTCATTGTTTTGTTACTAGGTTGTTGTTTTTTTAGTATGTCAAGTAAATTGGGTGCTAAGCAGTTTAAGATTGTTCACTGTTTAAATTCATGCGAAGTTTTAAAAAGTAAACTTTTTAAATGCAACACATCCACTAAATATGAACTTTTAATGCATATTTCCCATGAAAGTAAACTTTAATTCTTTTGATGGGAAATGCAGATTGCAGTATTGGTTGTGTGATTTCCTAGAGAAAGGCTACTTAATATTTGGTCAATGGACTGTCGTTGGAGGGCTTCTGTTTCCATATCCATGGAACCAATACATTGTCATCCCTATTCATGCATTTTCCACAAGATGCTTCATCTTGGGCTGTAGAATGATTTTCTACCTGATGTATTTTTAAAAATCCTGGAAGTGAAGGACTTTCCAAATCAGTCCTGCAGCTATTTTCTAATTCATGGTGGTAATGGGTGGGCTTCTTTGCCCTGCTAGTTCTTCTTATTAAATGAGTGTACAATCTATGTACCTGTGTACACAAATAGTTGAGCTGTACCAATCAACTTGCATATTTTTTCATACAAACACTTGTACATATGTAGAGACAGCTTGTTCCTGCATTCACTATAGCATGTGAAGAAGTCTGTTAATTTGGGTAGATTCTTTTGTCCTATTCTACCCAGTTGGTTGGTTGGTTAATTAATTAAAGTACAGGAACTATTATCTTGTTGAACAGCACAAAACATGCATATCTTTATTCTGAAGCAACATGGAAGTAGGAATTACAGCTCTGAAAGAAGGAACACTTTCCTATCCTCTAGAGTTCTCAACCCTTATCCTGATCTTAAGTGAGGAAGGGGCACATTTCCCAGTGGAGTTTGGTTCTGGTCGTTATTTTCCCCCTTACTGTTCTTACTTAGATAATTTCTAGGCAACCTTTCAATATAGTACTTCCAGAGCAGCATACAACCTGCAAGATGCTTACATTAAAAAGGCATAAGAACGAAACAAAGATAAAAAGCACAGAAACAACAGTCGTATGTTTCTGAAGGATTCTATTTATTTAAGAAATTTATGTCAGAAGCTCACAGGGTGGGTTTACGACTTAGTAATATAATAAACAAGACAAGATGCATACACCAGCCATCACTGTTGCAGGTGGGGAATGCAGACTAATTAGCCGAAGAAGGGACAATCCCTCAGTTATTGCAACAGAACAGGCCATAACTGATTCCTCCATGAAGTGATATGGAACCCCTAGCACAATGAGTTAATGTATTTTCCCTTGTTTTCTCACAAGGCATCTCCAGATGGACCAGTTTGGTGCTGGTGGCTTATCTCCATCTTGCCCCTTGACTTGACCCGCAAATTGACGATCTTTTCTGAGACCTCCCTGAAGGCTCGTCTCACTCAACTGAAGCATATTCTGAATGTCATTCTGGAAAGTCGTGACTACAACAGCTAATTCTCAAGCCTCATTCCCAAGAGAAGTTGTGTGCGTATGCATATATATATATATATATATATGCAGAAACAAAGTGGTTTTTTGCTGTATTCACCTACCAGTTTTCTTTCTGGGGTTGGGGTAAAGCCTTAACCTGTTCTTCTATTTCTTTTTCTTCTGTGTGTTTCAGTTACTTCTTTTCATTGTAGAACTGATCAGCAATAGGCCATGAACCAGATAACTGAAACTGTTGTGCAATAGTAGCAAGATTCAATAGCAAAGATGTACCGTCCACAGGAATCTCTGGAAAGACTTTTAGTTGGCCTTGTTGGGTCTAAAAGATTGCAGTGATCTAGATGTGAAATCTGTCCAAGAAATCTGACTACCATGCCTATATTGTGCTAAGTGAAGAAACTTCTGAGCAACCACATCCCTTGAAAACAAAAACCAAAACCCCACCACGAATGCTAGGACTTCCTGGGCTTTGTCCTCTTATGTCATTTAATGATGCTTGTGTACAATTATTCAAAGCTCTACAAAATGTATATTGTGTATATTGTGCCATTTCTTCAACTTAAGCAATCTGCTTGAAGTTACAGAGTAGGATAGAGAAAGACAGGATCAATACAGGTATCTGTATTTTGTTTTCTTTTCTTCGGTTGTTACCTCAGAGGGGAGCAACTTTCCTCAAGGCCACAATGCAGGAGCAAAGGGTTAAATCCTCTCCCCTGCACCTCAGCCTCAATTCAAATTGCACCCCTTACCCTGCTAGCTGCATTTTAACTAAAGAAAAATTCTGTGGGAGAATACACCACAGGAGTCATGTGTGGCTTGGCCCTTAAGACATTGTGAAGAGAAGAAAACTGTGGAGAACAAGGGTATAGCCAGGGATAGAGAAATTGTGGACGTCCCAATGTTGTTGGACTGGAACTCCCATTAACTGTAGCTAGTGTGGCCAATGGTCAGGGAATATTAGCAACAATAGCCAAAGATTCCCCACCCCTGCTGTACTCATGTGATAAAAAAAACCCCCAACTACTTCTACAGTGTAGAGCCAGTGTGGTGTAGTGGTTCAGAGTGGTAGTCACGTAATCTGGGTAACCGGGTTCGCGTCTCCGCTCCTCCACATGCAGCTGCTGGGTGACCTTGGGCCAGTCACACTTCTTTGAAGTCTCTCAGCCCCACTCACCTCACAGAGTGTTTGTTGTGGGGGAGGAAGGGAAAGGAGATTGTGAGCCGCTTTGAGACGCCTTAAAGGGAGTGAAAGGCGGGATATCAAATCCAAACTCTTCTTCTTCTTCTTCTACATAATGTGGAAGTAACACTCCAAAGCGGTATAATTAGGGAAAGGCTGTTCACGAATAAAACAATGTAACTTCCAAAAGATGACTGCAGAGAGATTTGAAGAAGAAAATTTAAATTCTGGAAATCACTGCTGCAGAATGGAGCAAAGAGCTAAAACATTCTCTGTGGTCTAACATGTATTGGCCAAGAATCACCCTACATTTCAGAGCATCAACCAACAAGATTAAGGCTTCAGCTCTGTTGCGCTGCCTAGTTATTGTGTGCCTGGCTAGGCAATTACATGAAATACAAAAACACATTGAAATACGAGCTGATTATGAGTTTTTGTAACCAAGGCACCACTTCATCTGATGTGGTAGGAGATGGTCACATAAATGTATCCAGTATTGGAATCTGCTTTGCAAGCTATGAGTGGTCATGCATTTTGTTGGTCTTTTAAGGTGCTACAAGCCTCCTACCTACATAGAAGATGGGAATGTTGTGGTGCTGATAATATCAAGGTTGCAGGCTGGATATCTGTATGGGACAGCTGCATATTCCTTCATTGCAGGGAGTTGGACTAGATGATTCTCATGGTCCCTTCAAATGCTACCATTCTGTGATTAACAATTATTAGGCCAAATTAGTGCTTTTCTTCTAGAAAAAAAGGTGCTGATGGTGCTCTCAGTACTCTCAGAAAAAAAAGCACTTGGCAGAATGACCTCAACTGCCACCTGATTGAAGGACATAGATGTGAGGAATGAGCAACAAAGCATGGTGTGCTTGATTACAACTGTCCTGTTATTAATGTCTCCAGATTTCTAGCTCTGTTGCCTTTTGGTTGACCTTAAATTCTTTCCCAATGACATTGAATAATAGTGTTAGGTACAGGGTACAGGTCCTCTTATTTAGAAAGAAGAATTAAGACTTTATTGTAGGCAGGTGAACCTTCTGTTCAGAAAACCCCAACAAATTATTTTGACAGATTGTCCAATAATTGCCACATCACAGTTAGCAAAGCACATGTTCACCATCGCCTGGGCAACCACAATCCTTCCTACTAGGTTCATCTGCCCAACCACCTGGTAATAGGATAGGAATGGTTCAAAGAGAAAGGAGGGAACTTGCTGCAAATCACCCAAGCAAATCAGTATGATGACAATATGTCTGAAAATGGTTGCCGTCTTGAGTCAAGTTGAGGACACTGTTATATGAATAAAAAGGGTGGTGTAAGTCAAATTTTATTTTATTAGCTTGTTTCCTCTCTGCCAGGCTTATCCTGGCTCAACGGGGAGTAGCCCTGCTCCTAAATGGAATTTGGGACAGGGCTATAGTTCCACTAGCTTCCTATGCTTAGGACTGCTCTGCTTATCAGATAACGTAGGGAGTGCCAAGCTACCAAAATGCCTATGGGTGCGAGTTTTGGGCCTTGTTTAGCTTTTCTCCATATTTGTAACCTCTGCTTTCTCACAGGATGCAAGTGTCTTACAGTCTGAAAGCTTCTGAATCTGGAATCTGCACTGTGTTTGGAAGGTTTAGTATACAGACTTGAAAGGTCATCATGTTAGCTCCTAGAAAACACAGGTCTAAGCAGTTCTCTGCTTATCCTGAACTTTGTATGAATGAGTCAAAGTGGTTTTGCCTTTGCCTGGCTGCTTTCCCCTGGAAAACCTGCTCTTTAGTACTAAATTGGAGCAAATGGCAATCCACAGAAAACCCAATTGCCGTTTGTTCCAATCCATTGCTAATCCGTAGGTTTTCCCAGGGGAAAGGGGCAGTGAATGAGTCCTCTGTTCTTAAAAACACAAGGAGAAGAAAACCAGTACTTTAAGTTACCATTGTAATTATTTATTTTTCATTGACTGCTTAAACTTCACTGCAAATGTTGTTTTCTTTAATGGATTGCAAAGGAACAGAGAACATCAACATCGTCTAGTGTCCTGAATTTTTCTGTGGTGGGTGGCTAGGCCGGTTCTTTTTTTCATCTTGAATTTCATTCTGTATTTATTTGGAAGCATCTGGAGAGATATTATTTACATTATAAGCCGTGCAGCATTTTGACATGGTTCTCCAGCCAATCACAGTATCTGTCCCATTAGCTAAAAGTCCTAAGTCAGGATAAGTGATATTTATTTATAGAGTATAATTGAGATTCCGCAGCCTCGCTGCCTGTTTTGTCATGCTGGCACCAGCTGTTTATTTCTTTCAAATGTCTTGTTCTAAAGCATTTGAGTCGAGCCCATTCTTCTGTACAATGTGCCTCATTAAGGGGAATAATAAGCTTCTGCAACCAAAGATGTTAAATGATGCTTAAAAGGGATGGGGCAAAGTTGGATTCTTGAAATCAGTACTAGTTTCTTTTCAACATGTAAAAATAAAATAAAATCCTCTGGTTCATTTCGAGTATCTAGGAAGTTTGTATGATAGACACTTCCCAGAGGCATTTTCATACATGGAGTTGTCAGTGCAACAGCTCGGAAGCCTCAACCTTCAGTCTTTTTGTACACGGCAAGCCAGTCTGTGTGGGGAACTGCTGTCCGTCCTGCCCCATGTGGAGCAGTCTCTTGTTCAAAGTTGGCTGCTTGGCCTTTGCAGTCCAACCTTGTGTCTCCACAAGGAGGGGGAAAAAGGGAGCCAGTTAGCATTGGAGTCTTATGGGTGCTAGGCCTGTTCACGTGGCCTTGGAATTATGGGTAAGGAGAAGTGAGGCTATCCCAGCAATGGAGTGGGAATAGGGTGAATGCCTCTTTTGTACATATATCCCTGTTATGGAAGGGATTTGCTGCTGCTGCTTGCTTCACATGCTATAGGAAATGGAAATATGAAGGGAGTGTTTAAAGCCACTGACAAACGCACAAGTTTTTTCTTAACTGGAAAGTGCCTTTTTTCAGGGTGGAGCTACTTCAGAGCCAGGCCAGGTTGAAGGAAGAGAGGGTGGCAGCGGTTGTTTTACTGACCCTCTGGCAGTTAGGATTTCTCAAACTGTATAGTCAACCAGCAGATATACTCATTCTGCTTGGACTTCCTTGCTTCCCTCTTTTCCCCCAAGTCTGTAAATGTGGGTGTGGATCGTATTTAAAATGTGTTTATGTGCTCTCTCTTCATTGAAAATTATTACTTAGAGAAACTGAGGCTGTGGTCCTATATACAGTTACCCAGGAGTAAGTCTCATTTAATTCAGTGAGACTCACTGCTGGGAAAGTGTGTTTCGGATTCCACTGTAAGTGAGCTGTTTATTTTACCTGGTAGAAAATGTGTTAGGGAATTATTCCACTCCGAATTCATTTGAATTTGTATCTTTTTATTTCCTGCTGGTCTAATTATTATTATTGTTATTTTCTTATCAAACTAATAAACTTTTGTGTTTTTGAGCACAGCATTTGTTTTACTTGGATCTATCCGAGGTTTATATATTTCACAGGAATTGCCTTAAGGATTCTCTAGCTTTCAGCTGTAAAGAGATCCAAAAAGACCCCTCCTCCTTGCAGTTCCAATCACTTGGGTATTTATGCTCTCATAATTGGGGAGGCAGTACACAGATACCGTGGTACCTCGGGTTAAGAACTTAATTCATTCCGGAGGTCCGTACTTAACCTGAAACTGTTCTTAACCTGACGCACCACTTTAGCTAATGGGGCCTCCTGCTGCTGCCGCGCTGCCGGAGCACAATTTCTGTTCTCATCCTGAAGCAAAGTTCTTAACCTGAAGCACTATTTCTGGGTTAGCAGAGTCTGTAACCTGAAGCATATGTAACCCGAGGTACCACTGTACATGAAAAAGTTGTAACTGGCCTGAAGTATTTTCAAGTGAAGCATGGTGGAAGCTAACAGAGTAATGTGGTACTGTATACAGGAAAGCCGTGGGCAGGATTCATCTATCCAGCTCTGACGGAGGACTTCAACTTGTGCAATGGGGGTCCTCCCCCTTCTCTCCCCTGTAGCCTCTGAAACTGGCTTGGGGGATATTGACACTCTTCCCCCCCTGCATATTCCCTCTTGGCCAAGTCTCTAGGGCAAGGGTAGTTAATGGGATGCACATGTGATGCACAGCTCCTACAGCTCTGATTTTTGGCCACACTAATAGGGGCTGATGAGTGTTGCAGTCCATCAAAATCTGGAAGGCATTATGATGTCTATCCTTGCTCTCTAGAGGGTTGCATATCAGTGGTCGGTAGGCTTACCACACGCCAGGAAAATTTCTGACATGTCCTGTTTTTCGGGAGTAAAAATGGCTTCAGGGACAACCTGGATGTATGGCAACATGACGGAAAAAGCAGAGGAAACAGCTTAAAATCACCCTGGGGGGGGCATGCAGGTGATAGAAGGCCTTTCCCAAGACTAATTGTAGCTTAGTATGTGCTTTCAGCAAAGGGTTGCCGCACACAGGGAGAGGAGGGTTCCTTTCCCCAGTTGTGACTTCTCTGAAAATGCACCTTTCTATTGCAATCTGGCTTGCAAAAAGCATTCTTTTGGGTACAATAAAGGGGTTCTCCCCCAAGTCTGATTGGGGGGGAGGGGGTTACTATATACCATATGGCACAAGAGGCCAGCAGTTCACCCCCTTGCCATATGGGTTGTGTATTACTTCTTGGGTTACACGTGTCTCTTGACGGCGCAGTGTATTGAGTGCATTGGGATGTACTTTTGCAATGAAGCCTCTTTCCACTAGGTGTCATTATAGATCAGAGGACTTCACAGACAAAGGAAGAAAAATTAAGCACGCTGGTGGTTATCAACAGAAAGAGACTATTTCCTTCAG